AATTCTCCCGAACTTTGTGGCACAGGTTTTCCTTTGTCGGTGGACGAGACGACAGGGTTTTCAAAATGCTCCGTCACGTTCCTCCGGAAAGAGGTTTGTCGCCTTTCTTTCTCTATTATCTCCGCCTTCAAGGCCATGTTAATGGCCTCTTGCAAACTCCACAGATTTTGCAGCCCAATCTTTTCTTGAATTGAGGGTTTCAATCCATTCACGAACCTTGCAACCCTTTGATTTTCTGTCTCCATCAAATTGTTTCGCTTCGCAAGTCTCATGAAATCATCCGTATAATCAGTCACGTTTCTGTTGCCTTGGACGCAGCTGATGTATATACGATACAAAAGTTGTTCATAATCCGCAGGTAAGAAACGATCCATCAAGAGTTGCTTCATTTTTCTCCAAGTGCGGATTCGATTCTTTCCTTGCCTCTGCCGAGTATTTTGTAATTGATCCCACCAAACAGCGGCAGTTGCTTTGAGACGGAAGGCCACCATCTTCACCATCTTTGTCTCGGGAACCTCCATGACATCAAAGAATCTTTCTACTTCAACTAGCCAATCCAGGAAATCTTCGATTTTAAGGTTTCCTGCAAAAGTTGGAATGTCGGCCTTAATCCGAAAGTCATCAAAGTTGTTGCGGTTTTGATGGTTTGGATTGTTAGCTGCATGTGGTTCCACATCTTCTTCTTCGGACTCCGATTCGCTGTCTTGAACACGGAGCCTAGGAACTCGTAGATTATTGACTCCAACAGCTCTATGATTATTTGGACCAATGGCTTGGACCAACATCTCACGAAGTTCTCCAATTTGAGTAGTCAAGTTTGTAATCTGTTCAGCTAGAGCATCCAAGTCTGCTCGAGTGATAGGGGCAGGTTCACGATCACGATCACCCATGGATAGATAGGATAATCAACGATGCCAAGACGAGAGAAACTCGCTCTGGTACCAATTGACGCAGCACGAAGCAATGAAAGGGTTACCAGCGTAATCCCTTGTAGAACAAAGTTTACTGGAGTCCACCAGTTGATAGAAATCCCAAAGGATAATTTGATTAATTGATAAAAAGATGTCCAAATGATTACAAAGCCATGGCTTAAATAAGCCTTTTACAACCTCTTGGAAAACTCAAAAGACTTAGGAAATTAAAATGAAAATAACTGACATATAATAAAGCCCTTGAAACCCCAAAAGACTCCATTTATTAGTAGGCTGCTGTCTTGATGACTTTCTGCAAAAGATGGCTCAAGCCACTTTTGTGGGAGAATTATTTTAACACGTTTCTGCGAAAAGTGGCTCAAGCCACTTTTGTGGGAGAATTATTTTAACACGTTTCTGCGAAAAGTGGCTCAAGCCACTTTTATGGGAAATTAATACCCCTTTTATGATTGCGCCCTTTTGTCTTCCGACGTTCCATCTCCTCCTCGATCCATTCCGCCATTTGTTCTACATCAAATATGCGAACACGCGGTAAAAATACAGCTACTTATTTTCTTTCTACAGAAGCACCAATGGAAAGAAAGCCTCCCATTAAATTTGGTTTATAACATTAATGTACTGAAAAGTAGTGATATTTAAAACAGAAAATCACAAAAGGAAATTCCACCCAAGCTGATTATTTTTCCTCACCCCACCAATGTCTACATTCTCTTTTACATCCTCATGTAACGGGAAAGAGGAGAATTAGTTTTATGCACAATATGTTCCAAATAATTCCTAGCCTTCCTTATGATCAAAACGATTGGAAGATAAAAATCATTGGAAGATAAAAACTATTTTTGGGTTAAAACCTAAATTTTCTGAGCTAAAATTTAGGTTTTAATCTCAACCACTGGAGTTGGTCTATGGCGAAATATTGTCGCACATTAATTACCCTCAGAAAAATGATCCAATAAATTAAGTCAAGTACTACGGCGCCTATCAGGTCTAACTAATTCTATGACAAGGGGCTGTAACTTATGCTAACCATGCACCATTCCTCTAGAAGAACAATGGTCATCATTTATAAGATCATTCTGCAACAATTTAATGACACTGCAGTATAGAAGGGGCCATATTCATTACTACCAAACCAACGAGTCACCATAGTATAGGTTTCAAGATGCCTCGGTTTATCTTTCATTAGAGAAAAAGCAAAGGCGACATAGTTTTTAACTTTTCTTAGCAACATAATATAAGCTTTCAAATCGTATGCTCTTTCGAAGCTTGCAGGGGTTTGTTGCAAGTGCTATTTTCCTTGCGTATGCATGTATGATATGAAAGAAATACAATTGTCTAATTCAGTCTAATTTGAGGCACCAAATGAGCTTTCTGAGTTCTGAGTTAGACCAGACATGACAGTTGAATTATTTCGTCCTTCTTATCAACCAGACGGGTCTGCTAAGTTCTTAGTTAGACCGTGTGCGGCGGTTCGATTATTTCGTTTATAAGTCTTTCTATACTAATCAGGCAAGCCTTCTGAGTTATGAGTTAAATCAGGCACGACAATTGGATTATTTTGTCTATTTCGTTTTCTATTTCATTCTAAATCATGTGGATTATTCTTCAATTTAATATGAGATGTCGTATGAGTCATCTGAATTAGCTATGGCATGACAGTGGGACGACTTCACCTATTTCGTCTTATTATGGGATTCAATTCCAATTATCTCCTTTCTTGGTTTGATTCCAACTTTTGATGGGAAGTTTTGTAATCTCATCTTTAAGATTTGGAGGATTCCTCTTCCTGCCTCTTGGGGAATTTTAACATTTGAGCTTATCCGTACAACAGTTGAGACATCAATTCATCTCTCTCTGTTGGATCTGTTTTCAAGCCATGTTTGTCCCTTTTATTCCACAAGCATCTTTATCAATGCTGGGATTTATTGACAATTCAGCAAGTGCACTTATTGCAATTGGGGTTGAAGAGTCGTAAATTTCATTATTTACCCTACTCAAAGAAAGTGAGTCAAGGGTAGTTCTGATGTGTACTTAGATTGGATTGGATAACTAACAAGGTTCAGAATGGAAATTAATCACATAATATAGAAAGACGAAATAGATAAAATAATTTAACCGTCTCGTCCAGTCTAACTCAGAACTCAGAAGCTATGTTTGTCTCTTTTTGAGGGAGGACTGTCTTAGGTTTTTCTGGTATGATTTAGAGAAAAAGATTTAAAACGAGTTGATGAAATTTGTGGTCTGCCCCGTTGTTCTGATACAACTATTTGTTGTGGGGGAGGGGGGGGAAGCCTATGTCTTGTTGATGGAGATCCTGTAATTGTTGGGATGGAGCTGCAGGTGAAAAGGTTCCTGGTTCTGGCTGTTGAAGAAACATAAGATGGTCAGAATTATGGAGGAAAGTCGTTAATTGGCGCGACAAGGGTGAATTTGGTGGTAACAGTACATAGTTTGTTAGTTTGCATACGTGTTTTCAAAGCATAACATTACAACTCTTACTCGTTGGTGTTCTTGTGTAGGAATTATAGCCCTGTAATTTGTATTTTATAACCTCCGTAGTACACAAAAATCCCAGAAGGATTAAGGGAATATCGATAAATTTCAAATGTTGATCGATTGTCTTGAATTTGTGTAAAGGTTAAACAGAGATCATCTCAGTAAAAAAAGTTCAATTTTCATACTAATGATGGATTGTTTGATCTTGAATTATTTACAACTTTTGGCTCCCCTTTCTCTCCTAATATTTTGCATATCTGTTTAGCGCTGATGGCTGTCGAGTTGCTTGGGGCCTTTTTACGGTCTCTCTATAGCTTGGGATAAGGGGTTCCGTCATGTTCTTGTGGACATGATTTTGCTGTTGTTCATCTTGTTCTTATAGAGAATTGCTGTTGTACCCCAATGGAAGCTTTATTTTTGGCTTGCAAAACTCTATTACACAGGGATTGGGTCTGTCTCTTGATTAGGGAGTTACTGTTTCTGAGACTCCTCCTTGTTCTTAGAGATCACGATTTGATACAAATTTCTAAGCCGAGAGATGTTGTCGTGTAGTTTTTCGCTTTGTTTAGCCATTAAATTTGATATGTTATGTTTGGCAATACATACTCCAAATATTCTCCGGAGAGTTGAGTTGTGTGCTTCTTTGTTTGAGTTATTTGCTAGATATTTAGGTTGGCAACCTCAAGGGCTGAGATGACCCAATGACCTAAGGTAACCCAGAAGCAAGGGAAGGAAGATGAACAAGGCAATGTGGCAAAAATAAAAAGTTAGGACGATAGGCAAAAGTGGTTGTAGGATGGGGAGTCGAGCCGGGCAGCACGCTAGGTAAAGGCATCATCATCTGCGGGATCTGGGCAGCCGGACAGCTGTTGTACCCCTTCACTCCCCGGCCTAAAGCTCGTTGTTGGTTTGCTACCCACCTTTAGAGGGTGGGGTGCCCTACTAACCCGAGTAGCATAGGGCGTGCTTAATGCAACCTCACACCCCATACGATGGTTTGTGAACAGATTTCAAACACTATTACCCACCCGGGTCAAGCTCCACTTTCATCACCCACCTTAATGCCCTGCTTAGTTTCAAGCCCACGCTACTAGGCTCGGCAATATAACTGTGTGTTGTAACATCTTATAAACTGCTGTGTCAGTAATAGTATTGTTCGATGTGGGATTTGAGCAAGAGCAAAGAGGTAGGTGTATTTCCCCCGTTCAACGTGTTTCTTTTATTCAAGCGGCATGCCTCTTAGTCAATAAGAGATCAAATAATGCTTTGTACACACATTCACGACCAATGTGATCACTGCATCCCCAATTCCGTTGCTTCTGGTTGTCTTTGTTCTCCAATGTCACTTTAGCTTGGTTACTCAACTACTGGTCTCTCGTCATGCCTTGACGCACGTGAAGCTAAAGATCTTCTTACTGAACATGTTTTATTTCCACTGCTTCGGGTTTCTTTCCCCGACGACGCTTTCGTTGAAATGTTAAAAGAAAAGGTTAATAAGAGAACTACTATGTCCTCAAAATTAACTGATTAAATAAAACCAGCGGGTAATAGAGGTTAATTACATCGCAGATGAATTGTCAAGTGTCGAGTATTAAATTCTGCAAAAGTTTACGTATACAGGAACAATTAACATTTTGTACACCAAGTGAAGAACAGATGCCTAATAATTGCCGATTTCGTGTTTGCTTAGCACCTTAGCATTTGAAACCTCCGCAGGCGATAAGCCATATTATGATGATCAGAATAAGGACTCCACCTCCAATCATTAGCTTCATTTGGAGACTCTGCAGCCACATCTTACGTCGCAATTGCCTGCCTTGCCTCTGGAAGCTGTCAGCCTGTATTCAATACAAACATCCCAAGTAGCACGTCAACTACAAATGCCTAGTGAACTCAAACCGGTATTAAATTATAAGACCAGACCAGTTAAGTGAAGTGATGGCATGTACCTGGAACTGCAGATTTTCTGTTTTATCAACCAAAAGCTCAATTCTCTCACCGCGATCCAAAACCTGCCACCAAGAGATGGGATTGATTCAATCAACTCACAACGAACCACTCATGGGTTGGATGACTCGCAAATATGCGAACACGCGGTAAAAATACAGCTACTTATTTTCTTTCTACAGAAGCACCAATGGAAAGAAAGCCTCCCATTAAATTTGGTTTATAACATTAATGTACTGAAAAGTAGTGATATTTAAAACAGAAAATCACAAAAGGAAATTCCACCCAAGCTGATTATTTTTCCCCACCCCACCAATGTCTACATTCTCTTTTACATCCTCATGTAACGGGAAAGAGGAGAATTAGTTTTACGCACAATATGTTCCAAATAATTCCTAGCCTTCCTTATGATCAAAACCATTGGAAGATAAAAATCATTGGAAGATAAAAACTATTTTTGGGTTAAAACCTAAATTTTCTGAGCTAAAATTTAGGTTTTAATCTCAACCACTGGAGTTGGTCTATATGGCGAAATATTGTCGCACATTATTACCCTCAGAAAAATGATCCAATAAATTAAGTCAAGTACTAGGGTGCCTATCAGGTCTAACTAATTCTATGACAAGGGGCTGTAACTTATGCTAACCATGCACCATTCCTCTAGAAGAACAATGGTCATCATTTATAAGATCATTCTGCAACAATTTAATGACACTGCAGTATAGAAGGGGCCATATTCATTACTACCAAACCAACGAGTCACCATAGTATAGGTTTCAAGATGCCTCGGTTTATCTTTCATTAGAGAAAAAGCAAAGGCGACATAGTTTTTAACTTTTCTTAGCAACATAATATAAGCTTTCAAATCGTATGCTCTTTCGAAGCTTGCAGGGGTTTGTTGCAAGTGCTATTTTCCTTGTGTATGCATGTATGATATGAAAGAAATACAATTGTCTAATTCAGTCTAATTTGAGGCACCAAATGAGCTTTCTGAGTTCTGAGTTAGACCAGACATGACAGTTGAATTATTCGTCCTTCTTATCAACCAGACGGGTCTATTAAGTTCTTAGTTAGACCGTGTGCGGCGGTTCGATTATTTCGTTTATAAGTCTTTCTATACTAATCAGGCAAGCCTTCTGAGTTATGAGTTAAATCAGGCACGACAATTAGATTATTTTGTCAAATTCGTTTTCTATTTCATTCTAAATCATGTGGATTATTCTTCAATTTAATATGAGATGTCGTATGAGTCATCTAAATTAGCTATGGCATGACAGTGGGACGACTTCACCTATTTCGTCTTATTATGGGATTCAATTCCAATTATCTCCTTTCTTGGTTTGATTCCAACTTTTGATGGGAAGTTTTGTAATCTCATCTTTAAGATTTGGAGGATTCCTCTTCCTGCCTCTTGGGGAATTTTAACATTTGAGCTTATCCGTACAACAGTTGAGACATCAATTCATCTCTCTCTGTTGGATCTGTTTTCAAGCCATGTTTGTCCCTTTTATTCCACAAGCATCTTTATCAATGCTGGGATTTATTGACAATTCAGCAAGTGCACTTATTGCAATTGGGGTTGAAGAGTCGTAAATTTCATTATTTACCCTACTCAAAGAAAGTGAGTCAAGGGTAGTTCTGATGTGTACTTAGATTGGATTGGATAACTAACAAGGTTCAGAATGGAAATTAATCACATAATATAGAAAGACGAAATAGATAAAATAATTTAACCGTCTCGTCCAGTCTAACTCAGAACTCAGAAGCTATGTTTGTCTCTTTTTGAGGGAGGACTGTCTTAGGTTTTTCTGGTATGATATAGAGAAAAAGATTTAAAACGAGTTGAATGAAATTTGTGGTCTGCCCCGTTGTTCTGATACAACTATTTGTTGTGGGGGAAGGGGGGGGAAGCCTATGTCTTGTTGATGGAGATCCTGTAATTGTTGGGATGGAGCTGCAGGTGAAAAGGTTCCTGGTTCTGGCTGTTGAAGAAACATAAGATGGTCAGAATTATGGAGGAAAGTCGTTAATTGGCGCGACAAGGGTGAATTTGGTGGTAACAGTACATAGTTTGTTAGTTTGCATACGTGTTTTCAAAGCATAACATTACAACTCTTACTCGTTGGTGTTCTTGTGTAGGAATTATAGCCCTGTAATTTGTATTTTATAACCTCCGTAGTACACAAAAATCCCAGAAGGATTAAGGGAATATCGATAAATTTCAAATGTTGATCGATTGTCTTGAATTTGTGTAAAGGTTAAACAGAGATCATCTCAGTAAAAAAATTCAAATTTCATACTAATGATGGATTGTTTGATCTTGAATTATTTACAACTTTTGGCTCCCCTTTCTCTCCTAATATTTTGCATATCTGTTTAGCGCTGATGGCTGTCGAGTTGCTTGGGGCCTTTTTACGGTCTCTCTATAGCTTGGGATAAGGGGTTCCGTCATGTTCTTGTGGACATGATTTTGCTGTTGTTCAGCTTGTTCTTGTAGAGAATTGCTGTTGTACCCCAATGGAAGCTTTATTTTTGGCTTGCAAGACTCTATTACACAGGGATTGGGTCTGTCTCTAGATTAGGGAGTTACTGTTTCTGAGACTCCTCCTTGTTCTTAGAGATCACGATTTGATACAAATTTCTAAGCCGAGAGATGTTGTCGTGTAGTTTTTCGCTTTGTTTAGCCATTAAATTTGATATGTTATGTTTGGCAATACATACTCCAAATATTCTCCGGAGAGTTGAGTTGTGTGCTTCTTTGTTTGAGTTATTTGCTAGATATTTAGGTTGGCAACCTCAAGGGCTGAGATGACCCAATGACCTAAGGTAACCCAGAAGCAAGGGAAGGAAGATGAACAAGGCAATGTGGCAAAAATAAAAAGTTAGGACGATAGGCAAAAGTGGTTGTAGGATGGGGAGTCGAGCCGGGCAGCACGCTAGGTAAAGGCATCATCATCTGCGGGATCTGGGCAGCCGGACAGCTGTTGTACCCCTTCACGCCCCGGCCTAAAGCTCGTTGTTGGTTTGCTACCCACCTTTAGAGGGTGGGGTGCCCTACTAACCCGAGTAGCATAGGGCGTGCTTAATGCAACCTCACACCCCATATGATGGTTTGTGAACAGATTTCAAACACTTTTACCCACCTGGGTCGGGCTCCACTTCCATCAACCACCTTAATACCCTGCTTAGTTTCAAGCCCACGCTACTAGGCTCGGCAATATAATTGTGTGTTGTAACATCTTATAAACTGCCGTGTCAGTAATAGTATTGTTCGATGTGGGATTTGAGTAAGAGCCTAGAGGTAGGTCTATTCCCCCGTTCAACGTGATTCTTTTATTCAAGCCGCATGCCACTTAGTCAATAAGAGGACAAATAATGCTTTGTACACACATTCACGACCAATGTGATCACTGCATCCCCAATTCCGTTGCTTCTGGTTGTCTTTGTTCTCCAATGTCACTTTAGCTTGGTTACTCAACTACTGGTCTCTCGTCATGCCTTGACGCACGTGAAGCTAAAGATCTTCTTACTGAACATGTTTTATTTCCACTGCTTCGGGTTTCTTTCCCCGACGACGCTTTCGTTGAAATGTTAAAAGAAAAGGTTAAGAAGAGAACTACTATGTCCTCAAAATTAACTGATTAAACAAAACCAGCGGGTAATAGAGGTTAATTACATAGCAGACGAATTGTCGAGTGTTGAGTATTAAATTCTGCAAAAGTTTACGTATACAGGAACAATTAACATTTTGTACACCAAGTGAAGAACAGATGCCTAATAATTGCCGATTCCGTGTTTGCTTAGCACCTTAGCATTTGAAACCTCCGCAGGCGATAAGCCATATTATGATGATCAGGATAAGGACTCCACCTCCAATCATTAGCTTCATTTGGAGACTCTGCAGCCACATCTTACGTCGCAATTGCCTGCCTTGCCTCTGGAAGCTGTCAGCCTGTATTCAATACAAACATCCCAAGTACCACGTCAACTACAAATGCCTAGTGAGCTCAAACCGGTTTTAAATTATAAGACCAGACCAGTTAAGTGAAGTGATGGCATGTACCTGGAACTGCAGATTTTCTGTTTTATCAACCAAAAGCTCAATTCTCTCACCGCGATCCAAAACCTGCCACCAAGAGATGGGATTGATTCAATCAACTCACAACGAACCACTCATGGGTTGGATGACTCGCAAATATATGAACACGTGATAAAAATACAGCTAATTATTTTCTTTCTATAGAATCACCAATGGAAAGAAACCCTCCCATTAAATTTGGTTTATAACATTGATGTACTGAAAAGTAGTGATATTTAAAACAGAAAATCACATAAGGAAATTCTACCCAAGCTGATTATTTTTCCCCACCCCACCAATGTCTACATTCTCTTTTACATCCTCATTTAACGGGAATGAGGAGAATTAGTTTTACGCACAATATGTTCCAAATAATTCCTAGTCTTCCTTATGATCAAAACCATTGGAAGATAAAAATCATTGGAAGATAAAAACTATTTTTGGGTTAAAACCTAAATTTTCTGAGCTAAAATTTAGGTTTTAACCCCAACCACTGGAGTTGGTCTATATGGCGAAATATTGTCGCACATTAATTACACTCAGAAAAATGATCCAATAAATTAAGTCAAGTACTAGGGCGCCTATCAGGTCTAACTAATTCTATGACAAGGGGCTGTAACTTATGCTAACCATGCACCATTCCTCTAGAAGAACAATGGTCATCACTTATAAGATCATTCTGCAACAATTTAATGACACTGCAGTATAGAAGGGGCCATATTCATTACTACCAAACCAACGAGTCACCATAGTATAGGTTTCAAGATGCCTCGGTTTATCTTTCATTAGAGAAAATGCAAAGGCGACATAGTTTTGAACTTTTGTTAGAACTCTTTAGGGAGAATATAAAAATCAAAATATGACTAATGTCAAAGATAATGTGGGACACACTTCTAATCTCTACTAAGACATTAGGCCTATAGCACAACTTTGATCTGGCAAAAGACCCAGATGAACATGGGGAGATAAACTGCAAAAGTATAAATAGAAGATTTGAGCCATGACCTACAAAAAGGGCCGGACTGAAATAAGAGTTAAAGCAATAAATAATAAACCAAATAAGCAAACCCATTGAGAATGCAGACAGCGTTAAGATCTACAGATCAGCACTCTTTTCCATGAGAAGTTGCCCCTATGAGGAACAGAATTCTTGCACATGACATGTATATATTTGTCCTTGTGCACAGGAATGAAGAAACAACACATAGCAACATAATATAAGCTTTCAAATATGAGTTGCCAAAGTTGCCACAACTTGTAGAGATACGTAGTGTCTATAGCAGTTCAGCTCCCTCCAGTACCATCCCCAAATACCGTAACCAAAAAAATAATAACATTAAGCCACAATATCATTCTTTTGAAAATCCAGGATGTAAAAAGCTCATAGTCTCAAGTGAAGAAGCCAGCATACATATGCATAAAATAACCATATGCTAAAAAAGTTCCATAGCCAATAGTTATATAATCTTTTACCTTCTCTATATTGTCCATCATCACACCTTTCACCTCCGTGATTTGGGCCTTCAATTTGGAAAGCTTACTTATTTCTTCTGGATGCTCCATGCAATATTGCATGTGCTCCTTAAGCATTGGCCTGTCAAAGAAAAACCCAATATTTACTGTCCATACTAAATTGCATAGAAGATTAATATTTAAACACCAAAAGGCAAATACACACCCAAATTCTCTGTCAAGATTGTAAGCGATGCTAAATCGATCTTCAAATAAGTCATCCTCTTCATCATCATCATCAAGAGGATGCGGCCCTGCATTCTTAATATCTGCAGCATACCGCTGCTTGAAATCCTCTTTCACTCGTTCAAGGAACACAAAAGGCACACTCCTTCCGGCCGATTCATCAGCAACAACAAGAAACACTGCAAACCCACTTAGCAGTTTAAATTATACATTCTACAACTAGTATCTAAAACAAGCATATAATTGCGATTCTCGGAACTTAAAAAAGAATGCGTACCGAATCCACTGTCAAGTAGGAAGTTAAAAGTGTAGCCATCGCACGAGTAGGTGTACTTGCTGCTGCTGGAAGGTAGCTTCTGCAAGCATTGAACAGCAATGGTACTAAAGTTTCCGGTGAAGGTCGTGTGTTCTGCTAAAACAACACTTCCTTTTGCAACAAAGCTATATATTAATCCTCTGTGACTCATATCTGAATTATCAATTCAAACGCGCAAACACCCCGCGAAAGAAATATCACCAGTACCTAAATGCAGCAGTAAACGTAGAGAAATTACACACAGTATCAAATCCCCAAACCCAAAATCCAAAATACAGGATTACAATTAGCTTATCATATTCAGGAAACCCGCCACCGCCAAGTAAATTTCTAAAATTCGAGTGCGAGTATTCACATATTTGAGTCAATAATAATGCTAACTTCAATTAGACGGGTTTTCGATGTGCTTGAAACCCCACCACCGTCACTTAACCAACCATAACCTCTCAATTTTCTCGGCAACCAAACAGAGAAAACGAAAAGGGTATAAGAATTAGACAAATTAAAGGTCGGGGATTGCAAAATCTTATTTGCAAATCCTAAAAAACAAAATGAAATTACATCTTGATCTGCAAATAACACCGAGAGATAGGGAAGGAGGAGGAACATACTTGTCAGATCAATCCGAGAGAGAGAAGAGAGATGACTCCGTCGGGAAGTTGGGGAAATCCGAAGTCAGTAAGGCGACGTGGTCCAGGTCGTTGCTTGCTTGTTTAGATTGGTTTTATTGGTTTTTTGGTAAATAAATGATATAATTGTGACTGACATTTCCAGGTCTGCCTTGCATTGGATTACTCAACTAGATCATGACGTCTTTTCCCGCAAAAGAATAAACTGTCATTCCATTTTCACCCCTTAAATTATCTGTCTGTTTCAAATTGATCCTCTTATTAAGAACTCAACCTACAAACAAGATAGACATTTATCGATTTTACCCCTCCCCGAACTTTAATTTTAGTCTATTAATCTCTTGAACTTTTATAATAACCAATTTTCTCTTAAACTTTAATTTTAAACCGATTAACTCCCAAACTTTTATATTTACTATTTTTTTTTTTTTATGTTTTGCTAGTCACACTCTTCCATCTCAAGAAATAAATGTTGAAACTTGAAATTAAAGAGAACTAGATTTGTTAAAATGAAGTGTGGGGTTAGGAGCATGAACGAGGACTTATATGGCACGGGTAAACAGTAGATCGCCATGCCAATGAAATGAAGACGTGTATGTTTTAGTCCACGTGTCCTTATTTTATTAGCATTGAAAACGATGTACCTGTGCCATGTAAGTTTTTCTCAAGGCGTAGAGTCTAAAGGACATAAAATTACACATGCAATACGTACTAGTTTCAAGGAAATTGAGTTACAAGTTTTTACAAGTACAACATAGCATTCAGGAGAAGCTGAGCTCAAAAGTGTTTGATTTCTTTCTTCAAAAATCGAACGAATCTGAAGAATGATAACGAAGGTCACAATTATTGGAGTCTGCAATGGAACAACAAACAAGTACAACCCTCCAACCCCAAATGCTTTCTTTCAGAATGTTCATATTTGGTTAGCGACTGCCAGATATAGCGCCAACAAGAGACGGAGCTCTGCCTCTGGTTTCCTTGATGTAGGAAACATAGTCGTTGTGGTCCATGGTGCATAATGAGCTCTGGTAGCGGGTCAATCGTATGCTCTTCCGAAGCGGCTCAGTGATGCTGCCATTATATCCAGATTTCCGCATCAATGAGTCAATTGCTTCTGTTTTTGTCCAACCTGAAACCAAACCAAATTAGACCAGACTAAGAACCAAAACATTAACCAAACACAAATTTGCGCAGAAATCCCGGCTTAATGGTGATTTACAGCCCACAGATCGCATTGCGTGCCTTAATTTTCATTAGAAACCTAGCTGCAATTGGATCCTTATTCCAAACTAAAGTAAGGAACTGTTTGCAAAGCATATTTTCAAATATAATATCACCTGACTTCTGTTCAGTAGATGAGCAACAGCAGAAATCATAAAGCATAAATTAAAACCTGGGAATAGGTAACCATGTGTCAACTAAATTTACAACTCAATCTATTGAGTCAAATCCTTGTCCATAAAAGATAGGGTCGTTTTAGTTTCGGTAAAAAAACTTTGTTTATAAAACACTGTCATTTTAGTTGAGTTAAAATTATGTCGTTTTTCTTTTTAGACATAGCAGACGTAGAAGAATTGTTTAAGGTTATTTTGGGCTACAATGTTGTTCAAACCTTCGAACAGTAACGGTCACAAAACTATACTATTCACAAACCTAATTATGACTGCATGAAATCCATAAAACTGTGACTGAGTCGTAGTAACAGCTTACCTCAGTTGTTTTTCATCGAACCAGGGCTTAGTTTTTTAACTTAGTTTCTAGACTTTAAAGCTCAAAGAACTCAAACCCAAATCCTATGCCCTAAATCCTTGTATATCTTAAACTTCAACGAGACTCAAGCAGTGACACGAATGTGTGGCTGCAGACAACACAATTCTAGATGAAGGAACCATCTATATGAACCCATTTGAACGGTAACTGTGAAAGCCATACCACTCACCTTCTTCGTCATTTCCCAACTCTTCCCCTCCCCACCTTTAGCTTGCCATGGTATGCCATGGAAAGTAGTCGGTGTCTGTATCAGGGGCCCCAAAATGGACTCTTATGCCCCTTTGAGGGGCCCATCACAGGCAACTGTCTTAGGGCCAGGGCAGCAGTATTCTTTTGTCTAATTTAAAATAAATAAAAGGATGTGGAAAAAAAAATAATCATGAGATATAATTGTAATTTTATTAATAAAATAGAAGAACCGAGCAAAGAAATGAGTTAATAAAAGATCACAATTGTAATTCTATTTCCATTTCAAAGGTCAGCGTTGAAGTTGTAACTCCAGAATGTTCAAAGATACTACTATAACTTATTTTTGCTCATAAATTTCAAGTAAATAATGAGTGGGGAGAATTACCTTCATGAGCAGCAACCTCAGGCAAGTATGTGGCACTGCGCCTTGTATTATAGTCAGGATCAGTAAATTCAATAATTATACCATGTTTCCCAATCTGCAATATTTATTAATCATGATAAGAGAGAAAACAAAACTTTAGTATCTATCAATGTTTTAAAAGGCGAAGGCATAGGTAAGATGTTTCACGGATAGCCCTGCCTACGCGAAAGCCTTGAGGCCTCACAAAACCTACATTTTTTAATATATACAATATATATAATTATATAGATATGTATATATAATATTTTGGTGGGATACAGAGTCTTAAAAGAGAAAAACAAGGATAACATAACGTTTATTTAAGTAAAGAATAATATAATGTTACCAAAAAAAAGAATGTTTTTTTTTTCCTGCTGACCAATCACATTTTTTAAGGAAAGAATATATAACATTACAAGATGCTTTCATAGAAATGTCTTATTTTCAATATTTTGAGATCAATAAAATATTATTAGAAACAAAAAGTCCAACCGAAAGGAATATGGTGGGGTAACAAATCTCATTAAAAGTAGTTCAGTTTAAAAAGAAAAAAGAAAAAAGAAACTATAAAAAACACGAAAAATCAGCAAACATAAACCACTCGCAACGACGCCGTCTTCTTCATCTTCTTCAGAGTACAGCTGGCTCTGCAACTAAAAAATTTTTAGATTTCAACTAAAAATTTTTCAGATTTCAGCAACTTAAAAAAAAAAAGAAAAAAAAAGACGCCCAGTCGAACGCCTCAGACATGCCCCCTCAACCATGTCTAGGCAAGTTTAAGCCTACTCCAACTGGGCAGAGGCATTTTCATGGTTTCATCCGAAGCTGCCGAGGCACATCTTAAGGCGCGTTTTTTTTAAACATTGGTATCTCTATTCATTAATCTAAAAACAAGAGTATATTACAAACATAATCTAAGTAACGAAACCAACTATGTAGCATGCAAAATAGCTGATTAAGCCAAAACATTAAAGATCCTTACAAATATCCCAGCAGCGGAAGAACTTGAAACATACCTCCCAATCAAGGTAGTGACTAGCAGTTTCATAATCCGTCAGAATGGAAACTGTGCATTCCAACTGAGGTATTTCCTTAGCTTGTATTGGGGAAAACCTCCGGTCCTTCAAAGCACTGCAGAAAATTACAAACAGGAAGAAATCATTATATGTTGCACCAAAAAAAAAAGATCATAAAGAATAGAAAACCCCACATCAGCAGAGGAAAATAAAGTGCATTATGCAAATGCAGTTGGATGTCTCATGTATTCGGTGGTTTTTGCACAAGCCCTGTCCTAGCTCAAGCAATAAGCGTTGTTCCAAAGTATATGGCAGATCCAGGAAAGCAACACTGTAGCATAGTTCCATGGTGATAAAATGTGACAGCCAAAGTGCTATTTTCTAAGTCAAGAATCAAGTATTTCATTGAAGATCAAAGCATATTGATTCGTTATCACTGGAGTAGGGACTGGGTAGAGTTAAAGAAAATTAAGGTTCCAAAGGTTCATACAACGGAGAATGCTTGTGAAACATCAAAAACATGATGTGACCAATACCAGGAAGATCAAGAATGTGGATCCTACCAAGAAATGCAGTACAAGATTCAACCTTGTGACATCACCCAACAAGATTGCATACATTACCTAATCTCTTTTAACAACCAAGTGTATTATTTAGTGCAACATATAAATCCTAATCTTAATTTAATTCCAGCAACAACAAAAAAAAAAAAAAAAAAAAAACCACGCACTATTTGAGCAAGGCTAAAATCATCATAACACACACAAATTAGAAGGAATTTAGATGATAGCTAACTAAAGGGAATTTAGAAGCATAATTATAAGGGAGGTAATTGGTAACTAAATCCTCTAAAGGCTGAGGTAGCAACCTTGAGCACCCTTTTGATGTGGGCTTCGCTAATTTCAACTCAATTTCTAGCCCATCTCCTTTGCAGTTCTTCAATCACTAGACGCATACATGTGCTTTCACACACACAACCACTCATAGGATCATCATAATACTGAACAATATGCTCTTCCACGAACAAATTATGATTTCAGAGTTCAGAAACATGGTTCATGATTTAAAAAAACAAATGAAAGTTTCCCTAAAACATAAAAGGAAAACCCAAACAAGCATGCCCAAAAAATACACATGCACATGTACGTAGATCACATATGTATAGGCTGCCAAACACATCTCAAATAACACAGGAAAGAAAACATGCAGAGATAGTACTCTATGTACATGTAGGACCACGTATGATACAGTGAAGATGAAAAGTACAAGAGCTGTCATAATACCTGGTTAGAGCGTAATCCCTGAATCCATTAATCAAGCCCCGAGGTTCTAGTGTTCCTATGCATCCACGCAAACGAGGCTCACCACCATTCACCACTTTCTTCCAAGTAACGAACAATGGACTGAGACCCAAGCATTGTTAATGTCAGATGAGAACATCGAAAGAATCAATGTCCTGCTTTATAAGACATAAAGCAATCCATACTATTACGATTGATATGCAAGTCTACATGTTAAGTTCCCAACCTCACCCACACATTCCCAACCACACACACACACACACATATAGATTCTATTAGCAGAAGGAAACATGAAACTAATATTACTGGCTATTTATAACTCATAACCCCAACGACAAAGGGTAATATGAAAAGCACATGCCACATAATTGGAGTCAATGCAGTATTTAAACTAAAAGCAAATAAATCTCAAACCAAGTATTGGTAAAAGAAACTGCAAGATATATAGCCTAGTTGGT